CCTGCTGAAAATTGTGTAGCCCGCAATATGAAGTATTTTTTAATGCCCCCTGTGGCTTAATTGTAATCATATCCTATGCTCTGTGCCCCTCCCTCCCATAGAAAGCTGGGGGAGTTACTGCAACAAGATTCAACACGATCCAACACAATTGTGTTAAATTAGCAGAGCCTGGATTTCTTTTTTTTTTTCTCTTAGCTTGCTTTTGCTGTGCAATGACATCCCTGCCTGGGTAACAAGGGGTGAGTTGTCATATGCCCAAGTCTAACCCATGAGTATCATCGTTTCTATTTACATTACAACAGCAACAGAAGCCCTCATTTGAGGCTGAAGCTTCAAACATGGAGATGATGTAGTTATTTTCCTCGCTTGGACATGTTAAAAGTAAAGTTGTCATTAGCAGTTCCTTCACTGAGGAGCACAGGCAGAGCTGGCAGCGGTGTGCTTCAGCTTGATCACATCAGGACACTTTCTACCATCAGTCTGACTGATTTTGGTTACTGACCATAAACTGGGGAGGTGGGGCACTTCTGCCGCTTGGCAGCAGGGTTTTCACCCTGTTCTCTCCTGACACGGTTTGCGATTCGGATACTGACCTCGGGAACAGTTTCCTTTGGAGGAGATGATGCATGCGGCTGTTCCTTGCATGTCGCTACCCATTCTGAACAAAAAAAAATGCTCTGAATCTCTCAAAGGAGGTACTTCACTTGGTAGTAGTATGCAGGTGATATTACTTTAGGAGGAAGAAGGCAGCTGTGAGGTTATATTATAGTAGAATAGCTCAGAAAATCACTATTTACCTTCAACTGAAAGTTAGGATGCCTGTTGCATTCACATCTGAATAAAGAGTTTAGTTTCTGAGTTTTGGCTGTTGGCCAAATAGCCGAAAGTAATTCCTTAAAAAAAAAAAAAAGTCGTTTTGGTTTTTCACCATGGCATGTGGAGTCTCCCATTCTCTCCCTCATCGCTGTTTTTTCTTGCCTCTTTGCCGCTATGCCTACAAGTTTTCGTCTAGGAGTTTTTGTCAGTAGATCAAGTACTATTTTCCCGTTTGCAGGGAGAAACTGTATGTTCAAGTCAGTCATCAGGCTGACTTCCCGACTAGACCTCACTGCTACAGTGATACAACTCGCAACTGTATGAATGACATACATACATTTTTATTTTCTAGGGTGAAAACAAATCTGAGTATTTTTTAGGATTGACGCCCATAGGAGTTGTTGTCTACAAGAATAAAAAACAAGTAGGAAAATATTTCTGGTATGTATGATTTAAATGTGCAGTCTGTGCTAAAACAATAACAATGTTGTTGTATGGAAATGTATGATTTGTGGTATCTATTTGAAAGGTTAGTTGTATTAATAAAAAAAAAATATACTTGGGATTCCTAATATTTGTCGAGATTATACAGATTTTTTATTCTTTGATAATCCAAATATTGGAAAAAATAGTTCACCTTTACCATACTCATGCTAAAATGTTTAAATACCACTAATTTTCTGTTGCTATCTGGTGCATACTTGAAAAAAAAGAATTCCACCTGCGAATTCCATTTTGTCTTTGTATGTAAATGTATACAATTTTATATTTTATTATGCATAAAATTAAAGTCTTAGGAAGTTCTGTCTGTCTTTTTTTCCAATATTACAGGCCTAGAATTACAAAAGTTCACTTCAAGGAAACACAGTTTGAACTGAGAGTCCTGGGAAAAGATGTAAGTTTTTATTTAAGCCTGAAAGAAAAACAAAAAGTAATCTCAGATCTAATGAAGTGGGAAATTTGGTGTGTCCATCGAAGTCTAATTTATTTTATTGAAATTTACTGCAGGAAACCATCAAAGTGAAATTAATTTTATTGATAGTTACTGCTAGAAAATTACCTTATCCTCAAGTGTAGTATGTTCCTGATGGTGCTTGCAATTTTATTAAAAAAAGAGGAGGAAGAAAGATTTTCTGTCCACATTTTGTAGGCACGGGGAGAGAACTTCAGCAGAACAGTACTGAATTAGGAATTTTATAAAAAACCTTTATAATTTTATATTTTGCTCTGTAAATTTGAGTAGACTACTTCTGCAATGCCTTGCTTATGGTGTTACATCGTGCTTTTAAGCTAGGCTAAATCTACAGACATCTAATATTAAGCAAAACGTGGCCGTAGGAAAAGTCACAAAGCTGCTAGGCCCAAGTAATTTTGTAGCTTGGAAACAGAAGCAGCCACATAATATAGCTCCAGACCCATTTGTCAGTTTACCTTCATAGTGCTTTTAGACCATTTGAGAGAAAACAATGTTGGTTCCAGTGGAGCAATGATAGCAGGCTGATAGCGAGAGAAGAGGTTTTAAGATAGAGCCAGTGGAAAAAAGGGGAAAAATACTTGTCACCTATGAAGCATGTGGGGGAGGGGGAGGAGGAGAGTGTTGAGGAGGTAGGGAAAATTACAAAGTGTAATAAAACAAATAGTTGCAGCCAGTCAGTGGTTTTTGGTATCTGGTTGAGTTATTAGTTTAGTTTGCTCAGTTATTTTTTGAAAATACTTTTTAGGTCTCTTTGGAATATCAGGACCAAAAGTCTATAGTTTTGAAGAAGTATTAGCCTGCTGGCACTATTCCCCTTTAGTGATTATCAGTATATCTTCATTTATCAGTGTAGTTCTTGTTAGTCTCATCCATGATTTTTCCATGAGGCCATTTGGTATGTTTGGTACTTTCTGTGAAATGTAACTGTACTACTGACTGGTTGTCTTGGTTCTGTTGTGGACAGAATTTCTTGCGCCTCTGCAGATGCATTGGCAAGTTTTACTTTTGTTACTCCCAAGTGCTTTGTTTCTATTTGGTGTAGTAATCTATGGGAAGCTCATTTCTGATGGTGTGTTTGTTGAAATCGGAGAGTTGTTTGAGGGCTGGGGAAAGGTTGGGAAAACTTTTCTCAGTGTTTCACGTGAAAGGTGAATGCCTGTTCATGTATAAACAAGTCTGAGTTTGACTTAGGGTGAATTGCATTGAAGTGATGCTGTAGTTTCTGTTTGATGCCACATATGTGTAGTTTTTGTCTGGACCCTGTGGAGTTGCAAAAGTTTAACATGCTGAGCAGAAAAACTGGAAGCTTTGGAAAACATGTTTAAGTTGAGTCTGTGAATGTTGATGGCTGGTGAACACTTACTATTGTGATCATAAGGCAAACACTTTGACAGCACTTGGTAATTTCAAGTCTCGACAGGTACTTTTAGGAAATTGTTCAAGAGAACAGTAAGTACAAGGGTGTGTACCATCATTAAAATATCCTTTGCAAGTAATACTCATTTGAAGTGTTTCTACAGTGCTTCATATCCTATCAAGATTAGGAAAGGCCAAAATGGCCCAGAAAAATGCTGCTCTCCCTTTTTTTTTTTTTAAACATTTTGATGGTGCTTTGAACAAAATAATGTCTTAGAATAAGTAACAAGTAGCCTTAGTCTCTGGATTAAAGCCGTGATAACAATTTAGGCTGTTCTGCACCCAGAAGAGGAAGAGCTCATCAGTGTATTTATATGACTATATGTTCCAGTAGTACTCAAAACCTAAATTCACAAATTTCTTTCTTTCCTCTGTTTTTTGGAATAAATGCTATCACTTTGTCCTTCTGTGTGGGACATAAGTTTGAAGTATATGATAGGAGAGTAAATGTGCCGTTTTTGCTTCATCCTGCCTCCACTTTGCAGCCCAGGGAATTAATACTTTCAGATGTGGTATAGCAAGTTTGGAATGTGTTATGTGTTTCCATTTAGTTGGAAAGAACGCTGGAAAATATTCAGGGAGAGAAGAAGTAATGGAGACTTTCCCGTGTCTTCGTGTTTTACGGCGTATAGCGAAGGAGTTAACATCATGTAATAAGAAGAGCAGATTGGTTCTGAGTATATTGAGTGCTTTGTGTGAATCACGTTTTCTGTATTGCAGTGAAAACCTTGTGCAGGCTGGATTTTGGTTCATGTTTCCACATATGAGCTACCTCTATCCACACTGACGGGTACCTTTTGCAGGTACCCCTGCTCCATCAAGAGGAATCTGTTGGTGCTTTTAGTACGGATGAAGCGTTGTTCTTTCTCTGCACACGGATTACTTGTGGCAACTTCTTTGTTCTCCCTTTCGATAAATTTGTGTGAGATTTTTTTCAAACATGCTGAAAGAGTTTGAATGTGTACTTCCCACTGAAGTGATGGAAGTGGACATCCTGATCTTCGTGATGGATGGCAGACATGGCAGTCTAAATGTACAGGTCCACGTCCATAGGCTACCTAAAAAATACACTGTGGGGTGCCTGTGTCAGCCATATTTATGGCTGCTGAGTTTTGTTGTTTACATTGTTTCATTTTTCATAGACTTGATGATTTACTGAGCAGAAGACATGTATGGTTACTGTCTTTTAAGAAAAGTACTTCAGCTTTCCTGTTTTGTAGTGTAAACTCTTGTACTACTTCTTATCTCTTCCAGGAGAACACTTCCTGTATATTTAGCTTCTTTATATTTTCCCTGCATACCTGTTGCTATTATGTGCAAGCATTACCATCAATATTTTGCTTTTACCTTTCACTACTTTGCTTGTATTATATGTTTTCTCCCTAAGGCTATTGCTATTGCCCCTTCATAAACAAAATACTGTCCTTAATATCTGGTCATCCATGACTTATCCTGACATGTGAGACTAGTGACCTAGACCAGGTGGCAGCAACTCTTTTTCAGTGATGTTAACCATTGAATCAGTATTTCATTGTCTGCCGAGTGGGCCCACGCGGTGAATTCCGAGCTAGAAACATGCCAGGCTTACCATGAAACCTCAACATATCGGCATGAAATTAGGAACCCTTCCCTTGTGGCAACTGCCCAGAAGGATTCCCTGAATGTGACAAACAGTGGCAAAGAATTTCTGAAGATGAGAAAAGTGTATTTTCCTGCTGTTTCATTTTAGAATACGGAGATCCATCTGATGCCTGTGCACAATAGCAGGTAGCATAGGTGTCTGTTGAGCAACCTTGCTGGAAACTATCCAGCAGTACGGGTCGCTGCCGAAGGCCCCCCCGATGCAGCGAAGTGTAACCTAATCACAGTGGATGCACTAGGTGAAAGTGGGTGGTTGAAGGGGTGCACAGCGCACCCCCTGTGCTTCCCCCGTGTGAGGAACACAGCTTGCTTCCTCGGTTTCTCTCTCAACTTGAGGACATGAAACAAAATAGAGAAAAACACACTTTGATAGATTGTGTAGGCTGGGAATGTAAATGTAATAATATGCAGGAGTGAGAGATGTGGAGCTTTTTTGCCTGTAGGTACCAAGTACTTCTGTGCCGTTCCCCGCAACCCCATACTGTTTTCTGTTACAGCGCCTTTTACTTTGGTCGCACTGTGTCTGAACATGCAAGTGAATGATTTCACTCCTTCGCAGAGTTTATGCAAAGCTTCTGTGCTTGTTACTTTTCATGTTTCTCTTTCACCAAACCAGAAAGTGTTGAATGTGCAAAACACTTACTTTCATTTATTTTTTGTTGTAAGAGAAGGTTCTTTTGGAAGTCTGAAATTTGTGTTTCGAGGGATTTTGAAAATTGGGGTGTTTCAAGTCAGAACAACCCCCATACTGTGCAATTAAAAATGTTTTACACATTTTCAAGCCGTGCTTTCCTCTGAAGTCTTGCTTAGTCAGATGAAGAGGCCAAGCTCAGCTGAATTTATAAGGTGAAGTTTCCAGGAGCAATACCAACCACTGACGCATGCTAGAGGAACTTAAGGGCAATTCCAAAGCACATAATGGTTGCCATCCTGGTGGCTGAAACTTGTCTAAATACAAGATTTTTGTGTTCCTTTAAATAGTCTCAGAAAACCCTGGAAATATGCTTTATTTTTTTAATCTGCTTTTTATAAGTGTGAGAAATCTGAAAAATAGTCACATTAATGAGGGGGTTCAGGTACACCCTTTCGTACCTTGCCACGTGCTATATTCCATCTTGAGTTACACGTTCTAGGCATGAACTTTTAATGTGACTTATTCGTCTTGTGGTTTCTTGGGAAGATTAATCAGTTTTGAAGAGATGTTCCTCCTATTCTAAAGTCCAGTTTAGCTTAGATTTCAACTCCAGACAAAAATAGCATTTTGATCTTTATTATGATTTAAGAATTACAAATGGATTTTGTATCATTTGCATTTGACCCCACTTAAGCCAGAGGAGTAGTAGAGGGTGGAGGTGAGCAAGCAGAGTAGTGTTAATACATCACACGGAACGGTTTTGGCATGTTATGGTTGGTTGGGTTTTTTTTTGCCTTCCTTAAGCATTTTGTAAGCCATCACAGAAGGACTGTAAGATTGATTCAAGTCTTGATAGCAAAATCTTCAGTAATGAGCATTTTTGAATGAGAACTAGGAGTAAAATACCTGCATAAACTTATATTCATTGCCACTTAGGTGTTACTGTCAGCTTTTTTTTGTAAGTTCTTCTTTAGTCTTTTTTTTTTTTTTTAATTGTTATAATACAAGGCTGAGATACGTTTGTTTCAATCTTGACATGCTTTACACAAACCGGCACAGCATTATTAATTTTAATTCCTGGCTGGTATAATGTTCTTAAAGATTGACGTTGTGTAACCAGTAATAATACTTATATAGCTATGATTGGTATGAATTATGTAGGTATATAAAGACAGAATGTTTCCTGTTGGAGTTAACAATTGATAGTATCCAGCTATGTGCCTAACCT